CTGCTTGAAGGGCTTTGTAGGTACTTGTAACTTCTTGAGGGGGATGAACTCTGCTCCAGTCCAGCTGTCAGTGACAAGAGTTTTAAGTGTGGCCAGAGCACATAATGTGAAGTGGTGTTTGGCATGAGCCTGTGCTTTGAGGGGTCTTGTGTTACATCTCCAGCAGCGTGTGACTGTATGGCCAGCAGTGCAAGTGCTTTCCACTTCACTGGTGCATGMTCATCTGTTTGATATGAATGCAGATGTAGGAACTGTGAGAGCTTGTGYTCCTTCCTCTTTGCCCAAATGTCAGCATCTTTTTTCCTACTTTGGGATGTTCCACGGAYAGTAATCCCTAAAGCTTCTTAGCTTTTTCATATATTGTAGTTTTGTAGATTTTTTTAATATATAGTTGTATGGTTTCTAGTATTTTTCTTGCCCTTTCTCATGTTTTAGCATAATAAGTTAGACCTTTCTAACACATTTTTGAAATGCTGTTTAGTCTTATTCTTAAGAAGAGAATTTCTGAGAAAGATATCTTGTTTTGTACCAGAACTTAGGAGACATAACAAGATAYAGGACAAAGAAGCCCCTGGACCTATGCCAGGGGGCTGATCCAAGGGTGGATCACTAAGGCAATAGATGTTCTAATTAATTCACCTTATAAAAATTGTAGAATTTTAATCCTCTATCACTGGTGCCTATATAGCCATATTTGTGCACCTGAAAGCTTTCAGTGCTTTCTATGAAAGAATTGCTTTTTATCTTACCACTCTTAATGGTGTTTGGAAAGTTTTTGTCTTTTGATTCCAGTCAACAATAGGAAGGGGCTCTTGAGTTCTCTTAATATTGTGACACTAAATAAAGCTTCTGAAGAGTAAAAAGGTGAAATATTATAGCTTTGGGTTGGAGTGTAAGAAAAGCTGTAGCTTCAGCATGCTGTGATCTACATACAAGAGTACTGTAGATAAGCGAGATCTTCATCTTCCCTTCATTCTGGAGTTTGCCTTTGCCCTAGACACACTGCTGATGTTTCTGTGGCAAAATGAAGGCTCTTGAGAYGGAAATGGCCATATGAAGTTGTTGCCATACAAGTACAGGGARCTAGAGTGACTTGTGGGGACACAGGACTCCAGATTGCTGCATTGTGRAGGTTTTAGGTGAATTGGGTGACCTGTCTTACACAGATTTGTTACTGAATTCATTGTTCAAAAACACTGATCTAGGGTGGTCTGATGCAGTCATTTAAGTGTGGAAGTCATTAGAACAGAGGTGGTGTCACTGCAGAGGAAATCAGTACAGAAAATTCCTTTTTAATCTAAAATCAATGAGAGAGTGATCTGCCTGACAACTGGTGGGGAGGAGGTTCCATCTCCTGCAACACAGTTGAATCGGTGGGATATAGGCATCACATAGTTACTGTTGTTGTCTCCTCTGAAATCTTGCTAGATTGCTATTTCTTTTTCCCAGTCCTCAGACTTGAAAAATTGACAGATGTGTCTTTTGAGGTGCGTGGAGAGGGAATGGGACTTGCTTAGCTCTTTGCTCTTCCTACCAGTACTTAAAATGTTGCTCTAGAAAGCTTGTACTGCCAGAAGGTGGCCATTGTTTTCAAGCTTACCACAAATATCTTTAGTTTCATGGCTTTATCWTTTGGATATTACAGGTCCCAGCATTAATCTTGGCCAGATCTCCAGAAGGTCTGAGCCATCTTCTGCCAGTGCTAACAGTCACAGGAGGCTGGTACACCGACCTTCACTGGAGAATTTAAAGTTGTGACCAAAACTTGTTTAGCTCTTTCTACATAAGCATGCAGGCTGAGGTTTACAATGGAGTCTGAAGCTTAATTTCCTGTTAACAAAAACAAAACAAAACAAAAACAAAACAAAAACAAAAAACACAGAGGATGCTTTGTTCAGCCACTCAGCAGAAAGCTACTGCTTGTGAAGTTTGCCTGGGACAGAATGGGCAATGAGCTGGCCTTGCAGCTGTCCCAGCCCCCTTCAGATGGTTTCCTTCAGTTCCACCTCTCTGCAGGATATTACATGTATTATAATCTAAATTTTTTTTTAAAAAAGATGATACATGTGGTTCAGTGAATGGTGGCCCCAACAGGAACCACTGGGTAACATTCCAAGAATGCCTGGGATTATAGCCTAAGAGGTTTGCTTCTTCCAGTTTCCAAATTAGTGAAAGCTTAAATACAGTTGCCTTCCTCCTCCCCCTCATTTGGTAAATGAATGCAAATTGTGCTTCTTGTTGCCTTGCTGATGGTGCCTTCCTGAGCTGAAGCTGAGTGTGGCTCTTCACACTTTAACTTGGCGCTTTGCTGTGCTGGTCCAAGGAACTGAGGCAAAGACTAAGGGGTTGATATGGAAGCTTGTAGTAGAAGTGACCTTCCTGCCTTTAACCCATTTCTCTTCCACTGGTTCTCCTGCTACTTGAAATGAGTTTTGAGGGGGACCTGGCTGTGTGCTCTTCCTTGCTGGAGAAATTAGGCTTAAACTATGTTTTGGTATTAAATAGTTCTCTTTTGAAGCTTAGCTTTGCATACACGCACAAAAAATGGTCAGGAGTATGTTACTCCAAGGAAACATTTCRGTTTTGTCAAGTAAGTAATTTTTTTAAATATTTTTTGTAGAAAATGCTTGTTTCAAGTTGACAGTTTTCTCTGTATGAAAAATTACAGTGTCAGTATTGAAAATGCTAAGTTCTTGTTGTGACACTTCAAAATCAGCACCTTTTGGAACATGTTTGGCAAAAGATTTCTATATGTAAAATGTGCATAATTTCAGTTTATAGTGAAAGCAGGTGTTAATCTCTWATATTGCGTAGCAAAAAAATCATACTTTTTAAAGCCTGAGGTTTTAAAGCCTCACTCAAATCCAGGGAACAACAAACTGAGTCCCAAGTGTATTTTTTTAACAAAAATCTCTTTGGAAAGATAGAAAATTGTAGTGAGGTTTTTTGGAGTCATGCAAACATGCCAAGGGAGAGGAACAGARAAAGAAATGGATAGGAAAAGTCTCATTCCCATCCTATTCAGTTTTTCTTCTTTTTCTTGATTTTGTCTCTTAACAAGACAACTCCTCCTGAACAAGAAATTGRGTAGCACTGTTCCCAGGGCAGATCCTGGGCTGAATGCCCAGCAATGAACCCTATTTCAGTGCAGCAGAAGTGGAAGCAGAGTCCATGGGTACAGCACCAATGGACTCATGAGACCCCAAAACACCTGCAGCACTGTGTCCAAACTCATGGCTTTTCCATGAGGAATCTGGACAGTCTTGTGAGCAGCTGGGAGGGGACTGCTTACCTTGAAGCAGGATTATTCCCCTCCCTGTGCATTAGTCTTGGCTGGAAAAAGAGGAGGGAGAAGGTCAGGTTAGGATGTGAGCTGAAGGGAAGAGCAGAGCAGRTCTTGTTTTCCCTGTCCTTTCTAAGGTGTCAGTTGCCTTAAGAGGCAAGATTTTTTTCTTTTCCTTCTTGTGCAGTTGCTGGTAAATGGCCACTGTCAGCATCACTTTCCAGGGATCTGTAGAAGTTTTACCACCTGCTTCCTCTCCCTTTAAAGCCAGCCCCCAAAGCAGAATTTCCATAGCTTCGTCATGTGAAAAGATGACATAGGAGGTGAAATTGAGATAGATTCCTTTATTATTATTAGAAATAGAAAAAAACAGTGTCCCTAGCCCTCACTCCAGGGAAAAATGGCAGTGGTATCCACACCTACTATTAAACCTTGTCTTAGCACAAGGAGTTGCTTCCTTGCATCTTTTTAAGGCTCCTTTCCTTGAAATGTGATGCAAATGTTGGCAGATAATGAAGTCAGCAGACTGTAGCTCCCAGCCTTTGTAGCAGGATTTTTTGAGTATCGCAGTTTGGATCCCTGAGTAAACAGGGCATGCTGGAGGTTCKTGTTTTTATTCCCAGCCCCATGCATGCAACAGTCCTTGGGGCTGCCAGCATCTCCTCCAACTAACACCACAGTGCCCCCCGAGATACAAACAGCATCTCTGTGCAGACATGAATGCCACATTGCTCAACAAGCCCCGCGTGCCCAGAGTGCCTTTGGCATGCTGCRGAGGCATAGGTCTGTCCTGGGGTGCAAACAGGGCCTGAGGTGTCCCAAAGCTGCCTGGCCAGGCTCTGCATGTGCTGCCTGGAACATGCTTCTGGGCTTCCAYCCAGGAAATGCTGGACAGAAATATGGGGTCATTGCTTTCCAAATGTAATTGATGGCATTTAGGTTAGCATTTTGAGTCCTGCTATCAATCCTGATATAGTTGATTGGAATTTCTAATGCTGGAGAGAAGGGATGAAACACCCCTGAAAGATTTATTGGGTTTTGGATTGGGCTTTTTTTTCTTTCCTTTTTTTTTCTTTTTTTTTTGGGGGGGGGGGAAGGCTTGTTGGTTGGTTTGTTTGCTTTCAAATGTGTTAGGTTCTTATTAAAGCTAAATTCATGCTTCCCCCTTGATTGGCTAGCTTTGTGCTCTTGTCAATGCATCTTTCAAGTCTAAGATTATCTGTATAGAAATGGGAGGATATGGTGAGTTTTGAGTAGCCAACAAAAAGCCCCTTTAAGTCTCCTTCTATATTCAAGTGCAATTAATTGTAAATGCTTCCAGATATCTAATCTCATTCTTTGTTCTTGGTAACAGTCTGTTTTTACTTTCAGCGTTTAAAAGAGCCCAAAACAGAAAATCAGACTCAGGTTCAAAAACCCTGAACATCTGCACACAGACTTTAGGTTAAGCTGGAGTTGCTCAGACTTGGCTTTATGCATCACACAAAAATGATCAACTAAGAAGCTTAGAACCCAGACACTCCTGTTTGAAATGGGCATTGCTGAACAGGGGAGAGAAATAAAAGGATTATATATAAAAAGACTTTGAACATGAAGTGTCAGATTTTCCCTATTTACAAACCCAGGTGCAGTAATTGGCTCTTCTGAAATTCTTTCCTGAGCTCAAGGAGTTGATAGTGTTAAAAGAAAAAAAAAAGGAAGAAAAGTTGAACGGCAGTTTAAATTTTCAAACCGGCTTCCCAAAGTTGTCGAAGACCTTGTGTTCCTCCACGCTGCGGTAGTAGAGGGGCAGCAGGTCGCGGTGCAGGTGGGCCGGCAGCAGGACATGGCGGGGCAGGCCGCTGGCAGGGCCCGGCCCGGGCGGCAGCACCAGCTGGGGCAGGCCCTGAGCATCGGGGTGCCATCGTCCCAAGGGCAGCTTGGCCTGGTGGTCAGGGCTACTGGCGAAGGCAAGAGGGAGAGGCCATGGTAAGGGGTCTGCAGCCCACCCACACGGTGCTGAGAAAAARGGGAAAGGGGAGCCCTGGGACTCTGGCTCACCGGCCCCTTGGAAAAGAGCAGGTGCAAGGGTTTCAGTGCTGTTAGGYGCTAGGTGGGGTGCATGTATGAGGGTGAAGCAGGGGACTGACTGCCACAGCAATGTGAGGTTTTTTTACAGCTGGATGCTCCTGCCTCCAGCAGGGAGCTCTGGGAGCAGCTCTTGCCCCTGTGTGAGGAGTCTGGGGGACAATGGCAGCAGCAGAGGAAAGGGTTGAGTGGTACCTTTGGAAAGCCAGGTTATTGCAGCCTGCGAATGCCCCTGGGAACACAGAGCTGGAGAGGGCAGAGAGGTGGTAATCACGCCGGTGGTAGTGTTTCAGTCTTCCAAAAGCATTCCTGCCTCTCTCGGGGGTGGAGGGGTCACGTTTGCGTCCTCCTCTGAGGCCTTTCCTTCTGTGCTGCTGCCTGCAGGGTGGCGAGAGAGAGATGCCCGTGCAGATGCTTTCTTTGTGCTTTGTGGTCTGGCTTTTATTTATTCACACCYCTGGAAAGAACTGGCATGTTTGTAACCTAAGGTAACACTGTCACCCAATGATTTGTACCCCCTTCCYCCAGTCCCAGAGGAAAGCACTGAAATCATTTCAGCCCTGCAGAGAAGGGTTGCTGATGAGGCCCACCCRGGGAAGAACAGGCCAGTGGAGGAGAGGGATGGCTGGTGCCCGCTGAAAGACTGAGATTCTCTCGCTTGCAGGACATGGTATTTTTTAACCCTCGTCCTTGTGCACTTCTGATGATGAGTCTGGATTTTCCTCAGGTCATTCCTAGGCTGCTGTTACTGTAATCCCTTGCCCGAGATACAAAGAGGTCCTGCGGGATTGTAGGCCAGGTAAACTGGGCCATGCTGCTGCAGAGATGATGCTCTGTGAGTGTGGTCCTGGCACCTCTGCTTGTCCAGTCCTACTTCCCATCATGGTTTTTCTCCCAGTTCTTTCCAGGAGACAATGYTTCTCCTTCCCCTCCCCTGCCCTGGGCTGTGCAGGCAGTTGCACTGAACTTAGCTTACAAAAAGGGATATTCCTATCAGCCATCTTCCATGTATTGTCTGTTCCCTTYTTCTGATAACGGGGAGCTTTTTGTAAATCACCAAGCTAACAGATTTTTAGAATAATTTGGGTTGGAAGTGTCCTTTAAGTTGTCTATCCCCACTGCAATGAGGAGGGATCCCTTCAATCAGATCATGTTGCTCAGTGCCCCATCCAATCTGACCTTGAATATTTTCAGGGATGGGGCATCTACAGCCTCTCTGAGCAACCTTTTCCAGTGTTTTACCACCCTCTTCTTCATATTCAATCTCAGTCAACCCTCCTTCACTTTAAAATATATCGTAACTGTCCCTGTTAAAAAGTTTGTACTTGTCTTTCTTGTAGGCCTGCATCAAGTACTGGAAGGCTGCTATAAGATCTTCAGGAGCCTGCTTTTCTGCAGCCCAAATGCCAAGTTTCACAGTCTTTACTCATAGGAAAGGTGCTCCWGCCCTCTGATCACCTTTGTGGCCTCGTCTGGGCCGTACTCAAACAGGATCACATCTTTCTGACCCTGGGGACCCCAGAGCTGGATGCAGCACTGCAGGTGGGGTCTCACCAGAGCAGAGCAGAGGGGCAGAATCCCCTCCCTTGCCCTGCTGGCCACGTTGCTTTGGATGCAGCCCAGGACACATTTGGCTTTCTGGGCTGTGAGTGCACRTTGCTGGGTCATGTTCAGCYTCTCATMCACCAGTACCCAGCCCCAAGTCCTTGGCAGGGCTGCTCTTGATCTGTTCATCCCCAGCCTGTGTTGATACCCAGGGTTGCACTGACCCAGGTGCAGCACCTTGCACTTGRTCTTGTTAAATTCTTGAGCTTGTCCAGGTCTCTATATGGCCTTCCATTCCTCAGACATGCAACAGGAGCCCCCTCCGCAATCAGCAGCAGCATCCCCACTGCCGGAACCCCTTCCAAAATCAAACATACCTTGGCTTTGGAGCAGCAGTTTAACTTTTTATGCTTGATGGTTTCAGATGTATGAGCGATAGGGTTGTGAAAGAGCAGGTGGGTCCCAAGTGTCCCGAGTGCGCGCAATCCGCGTGTCTCAGCAGGTGGCAGCAGCGACGCTCCTCCAGCTCCCSCAGCTGCTCCTCTCTCCTGCGAAACCCATCCCACCGCTCCCACCCCGCCTCCGTACTCACCCTCCGCGGCTCTTCCTCGCTCTGTCCCGCCAGCAGCACACGGCGAAGGAGACGGACAGTGCCAGGATGACGGCTCCGCTCAGCAGCGAGGCGGCCACCGCAACGCGGGACCCGGTGCCCGAGGGCTGCGGGGCGGCTGCGGRCAAGGGGCGGGGGCTGTGAGCGGGGCCGGGGAAGGGGACTCCCCTTCCGTCGTCCCCCTTGCAGGTAACCCCAAAGTGATGTTACAGAGAGTATTTATCAATAACCATTGTGAAAGCTAGTAGTGAACGTGGGTGATGCCACTCCGGCTCAATACACCAGAAAGTTAACAGAAAAAAAACCCAAAACATATTAACAAGTCATATTTATTTCGGATAATTAAAATAATCACATGGGGTCGAAAATATAAAGCATGTGATGTTTCTTGTATAAAGCATAAGGGTAGTAGAAATTAAGCCCAAAAAAAATGAAAAGGAATAATAGAAAAAATTAAAATGTAATAAAGTTAGAAAGGGGAAAAGCTTAAAAGAGAGAAGAGTTAGAAAGGAAAAAGGGAAAAATGTTTAAAAGGATAAAAAGTTTAAAAGGGAAAAAAGTTGAAAAATGTAAAAAAGAAAAAAAAAATTTGAAAGAAAAAAGGGTGAGAAGGGAAAAGAGGTCAAACGTTTCAAAGTATTGAGGAGGGACACTTGCACTGGCACGTGTTCAGCATATATCAGGTTATTGCAAAGTTCAGTTTTCCTCCTGTTGTGAAAGCTTTTGGCAGTGCCCTRGACTCCCTGTGCCTGGAATCAGGAGTTGGGTACCAGGTTTTGACTCAGCCTGATGAGCAGCAGTTACTGGGAGTAAGGGAGGTCTGGTTGTCTGCTGAGCTGATTCCAGGTGAATTCACCCTCTGGCACCCTCCCCTCCTTCTGCAACTCCTGAAAAGCAGTCTCAGTGCCCCTGCTGGAGCAGGCATTTCACCGGTGCTGACCACAACTGACTGGGTCRAGCTGGACCTTCGCTGTCCCCGTTCGAGGTGGCCTTGCTGGCTTGGTCAGAGTGAGGAAGCCCCTGTGTGAAGGCCGGTGGCTGCACCTCCCCACCCGAGTTAAGGATTGTGTGTCTCTGTCCCCGCACCCCGCTGGGCCCCTGGGAGTGGGTGCAGGATCTGGGTCCCACCCGAGGGCTCCTTACCCTGGCAGTGGGGTGGGGGGTGGCTCCAGGACGAAGTGCTCTCCTGGCGGAGACARGCGAGCCTCTCGCTGCCCACCAGCTGGTACCCCTCCTGGCACCAGAACACGAGCACCGAGCCCAMGGAAACGCCTGAGCCTCTGTCCACGTAGTAGTATCCGTAGCGTGGCGGAGGGAGAGCCGCACATGGCACTGGGGGAGAAGGGGAGATGTTAAATGTAGGTGGTCATACAGGCCCCCCCCCAGCCATGCTTTTGAAGGGCTGTCTGCCCCGTGTCACTCCTTTGGGATCTGCAATTTGTAGGAGAGAAAGGAAGAGGATATTTTAATAACACAATATTCTGGGAGAATATTGTGGGTTGGAACTCAAAGAAATATTACTCTCAGCTAGAGAGTGATTTTTTTTCATCTCAGCCTTTAATTCTCTGACTAGTTTCTAACACATGGCTATTTAGAGCTACTTAGTTATCCTGCTTAGATCATCTCTACATTGCACTAGTACCTGGGGAGAGCCAAAAGTGAAGAAGGCTCCAAAAAGAATGCCTGTCTGACTGCGTGCTGCCAAACCCCCCTGGATGTTCTACCATAAGGCCAAGAAGATGTGGCAACAGGTATCATGGGTACCAATACCCTAAGTGAAAGGAAAATGCTCTGATCAACTCTAATTTAACCAAACTTAAAATCTGCAGGCAGAAATGTGCTTTATCTGTGTTAGGGGGAACTTTTGTGGGGAATTCCAAGTGGAACAGTAAAGCTTATGTGTGCAAGAGATCTGTTTCCCTCTGCTTTTACTGAGATTGTAGGCTTCTGTTCCAGTGGGGCTGATAAAAACAAATCAAGGTTGAGTAAGATCAGACTTTMTCCAGCTTCAGCAATGCTGTTAACTGGTAGTGCAGATGTCTATATGAGTTAATTGAGTGGTGCCAGGAAGGCTGCTGAATGCCTGGACTGGATCTCTTGTATGGTTACATTGTCCAGTACTGGTTACTAGGACCTTCCCCAGCGGTCACTATGATCTGGAGTATAACAGGGTTCTCTGAGCTGCTGCCAGCCCTGGGTGGGTGGTCACCCCACAGCAGCCCTGAGGCCATGTCCTRATCGCTGGGGAATGGCACGTGCTTTGCCCTGAAAGTGGATTAAAGGAAAATAATCATCCTCAGCAKCTGGAGATTATTTGCGCTTTAAAAAAAAAACAAACCAAAACCAAACCAAAAACAACCTCCATTTCTTCCCAAGGGTCCCAGCTCAGCCTCTAGGGATAGGGATGTGTTCAGTGCACCCATACCCTGAGCATACAACTGGTCCATCATGATATGCATAGATGTTAACACGGAGGACTTTGCTCTCAAAGGAAGACATCCACTGTTGAGTTTTCTCCCTGTGCCTCCTGACTGTTTCTGATGTGACGCATCTCTCCCGTATCACAGAAGTTGCTGTGACCACCCCACAAAGCCTTGTAGCTCCTACACGTACCCTGGGAGTGCTTCTTCACCCGACGAGAGAAGCACCATCACACCTTCATCACCACGTCCCTGTGCCCTTACCCCCGTGTACCTGCGCCGTGGGGCCCCGAGGGAGGCGGGAGATCGCTCATTTAAGTACCTGAGATGTTGCTCTGCACATCGGTCCCGTTGGCAACGTCTCTGGGCAGCCCCTTTCTGACGTGTCCTGCACTGAGTGAGGCGGTCCCGGGCTCAGCAGCATCACTCCAGSCAAAGCTCAGGCAGCTCCAGGGCAGCAGGCAAAGGATGATGCATCTCCCSAACTTTTGTCCGGTCATGGTTTGGGGAAACACAGCACCATCGGGTGCCTGGCCACCCCGAACGCCTGCTGTTTCCCTTTGCTTCTGAGCTGGAGTCAGCTGGGCTCTTAGTGCATTAAGCCCTGAGCAGCAAAGCTAGCGGCTGCTCTTCCCCCGGGGCTTGCCTCTCCTCTGCGTCGGCACAAGCCCTGTGTCCCTGCTTCTAGGACTGCCAGCCCTGTTCTGGCTGCTCGGCTTCAGAGCCCTGCAGAAGAAGAAAACAGGTGTGGAAAAGGGAGTGAGAAATAGCAAACCCTTARGATCCATGCTTTACAGCCCCTTCCTGCAGGGAACCCTTAGGATCCATGCTTTACAGCCCCCTCCTGCAGGAGCTGGGTGTTACCATCTTTCCAGGTGCTGGAGCTGCATATCAGGAACTCTTCTCCTTCTCCTTCTCCTCTACCTGTCAAAATCAAGCTCACTGTTGAGACTGTTGACCTACAATCCCTCCCGTGCGCTCCTGCCAGAACCTAGGGGTGATTTTCTGTCAGCAGCAGTGCAGCGGGATATGAGCCATAGGAATCTAAAGGGTTTCATAGCAGTAATTCCACCAGCTTTGCCACTATGGAAACTGCAGAGAAATCTGGTTTTCCTTTTCTCTGCTTGGCATCTCTCTGCCTGTCATTTCAGGCTCYGATGTTTTATGACATTTTCTTGCTGGAGGGGCTGTAGTAGCAACCAGCTGTTGCCTTCTTACCTCCCCCTACCTGTCTGGTTCCTTGTGTACACCCATGAAAAGATGCTCCATGCTGCCTTGAGCACTTGAGAGCAAGATGTTTTGGAGCAGGCAGTGCCTTTGTGCCAAGCAGCCAGTACATCAGCTTTGTGACCAGCAGGGCTTTGGGGTGACGGATGGAGCATCCCCTGCTGTGGCTCTCCTCTCCTTGCATCCTTCTGGAGCTCCCCTGTGGGTTTCCATTGCCCCTCCTGTACTGCATCCTTGCCTGCCTGGGCCAGCCTGGGAYTTACTGCAGATATGAGGATTAGAGGCTGTTATTCACTAATAGCATTGGCACAAATACAGCTTTGCAGGGAGATTTTTTGCAGGGTCAGTTTTTGTTCATCTCTCCATTTATATCTATGGCCTTTAGCTGTAGCCAGTGTGCTTGGCTGCTTATGGCTGTCTGAGTAGGTTCTGAGGGGGACGAAATGTTGCCTTGGATGTGTGAGTAGCTTTTATTTCTAAAACCCATCTGGTGGTCTTACCATCTTAGTGTGATTTACTGTAGTGCATAAAGGAGAAATGAAAACGTCAGACAGGATCAAGCTTGTCACATCCTATCCCAACACAGAGATGAAGATGAGGGTATCTGCATAGTGGAAGGGATCTGTGGGGCCAGGCAGTGGCTGGATCATTCTTGCCTTCCTCCCCAGCACTGGGACCTGCTCTTGTTCCCATGTGGGGCAGTCCAGCAGTATTCTGGCCCTCTTTGTACTTGCAGAGAGATTTCCTGTCACCTCCATGGGACTTTGGATTTGGGAATCGTGGTCTGTTTGAACATCCTTCTCTCAGACAGTCCTTTTGTGGTTTTGACTGGGCTGATACTTCTGGGCTTCTCTCCAAGGGATTTATTCAATTTCTCAGAAAAACCTGTTTCAGCTTCCCATGGCTCATAATTATCTTGCTCAGTAACTACTTTAATTTCTTCACTTTTCTGGTTAATCCTTCTTAAATGGTGACCTTTTCTTGGCTCCCCCTGGAGAGCAGACCAAGGAGGTATGTTTCTCCCTGACTCAATGAATATTGCTGGTTTCGTAGGGGTTTTTGGTTTTCGGTTTGTTTTTTTTTTTCTTTTCTCCATCTAATTGCAGGGATTTTGATGTTTGCTCATGCAATGAAGGTGAAAACTTGGAGGCAGGCTGGGCTGTGTGACAGTCAGAGGAGCCAGAGGAGCCAGCTGCCACTGACAGCAGAGGAGCCAGCCTTGAGGCATGTCCTGGGTGCAAACCCCATAATCTCCTGGCAGTTGGGAGCTGAAGTGCAGGCACCCCCTTGGGCCCTGGGAATAGACCTGTATAATCGGACAGGACTGACCCTGAAGTGGTGCCTCTGTTGAGCCTGCAATCTGTGTACCTTCTCCTGCTGGGGAGCTGTTCCCTCTGCTGCTGATGGTTGGAGGACAGTGGGAAGAGCCTAAGGCAGTGCCCCTCCCTGCTGCTGGATGTGTTCCGATGTTGAATAGCTGGGGACTGAGCACATGTCAAAAGCATGGCCTACAGCATGGGGTCAGCAGCCCTAAGTCTTGTCACACGTGCTAGGGAATGAACAGGCTCAGCAAAACCCCCGTGACACAATAACCACGCTTGTGCTCAAAATGCTGAGTAGATGACATGGATTATTCCTTTGCTAATGCTCTTAAGAGCTAGTCCTGGGGCTGAGCGAGACAGAGAGTCTTATTATTATTAAATCAATATCCTGCTGGAGTGGGATTTCATTGCCATTCCCTCTTTCCTGCTTCCAGGAGGCAGACATCTGCATCAAATGGGAGAGATCAGCACTAGAGCAGGGCACCAGGCTGTTCCTGCAGGGAGTGACCCTGAGCTCAGGAGAGGAGTGTGTCCATGCCTCAGGTCAACAAGCCCTTTCCTTGTGAGGAGGGCTGAGAGGAAGGAGGAGCTAGTGGGGAAGCCATCATGGCCACAAGGCTGCAGCTCTCCCAACTCCGGAGTCTTGTCTGGGGTTGTCCACCTTCCAGTGTATTCCCTGTGGGTGATCTCCTTCAAAAGGACTGCTTCTCCATCACAGCAACCTGCAAAGCAAAGCTCAGCTGATGGTTTTCAAAGCTGGTTCAAATGTCTCTTGCATTTGCACTCAGATCTCCCTGCTTGCTGATGGGGTCCCTCAGAGGGGTAAAGCTTYCTGGAGCCATAGTGGCATTTCCCTCTGCCTTCTCTTGTGCCCCTCTGAACGTTTTAAATCTCCCCTCTGCAAAAGTGCCCCTCACACTCTCCCACTACTGAAACTCTGAACTCTGGGAAGTTGTGGATGCCCAGAGAAATTGCAAATGCTCCATCCCAGGAAGTGTTCAAGCCAAGTTACATGGGTTTGAAGCAGCCTGGTCTAGTGAAAGGTGTCCCTGTCCATGGCAGTTTCCCTTCCAAGTGAAACTATGCCGTGATTCAATGAACASACAGGTACTAATTTCAAGTCAGTGGCCATGGGTGATCCTCTTTGCTTGCAGAAGGTTGTGCAGACAGAAGGACATAGAGGTGTTTTGTAATTATTTTAGTAATTGCAAGTCACTTGCATAACCCTCTTGCTAGTCCATCCTTCATGCAAACCAACCAGGGCCAGAGCTGTGGAAGAACAAACTTCTTTTTTAATGGAAATCTGCAATCTYTTGGTGCTCTAAAACATGCGTATTTTGCGCTGCAGGATTTTCCAGAAGGGCAAACTGGTTTTCTGACCAGCTTTTTTTGAGAAAAAGAATCGTTGTTGTTATTACTATTTAATTCTTCTCAACCTGTTCACTTAATACTATTCATTTGGACAGCTTCATGTGCTAGTCTAGATGACACAGGTGTTGTTATGCACCCATGCCTTTGGGATGTTACACAAAGTTTATACAACTTGTTTAAGAAGCCCTGGTTACTGAATGCCTGGGTCTCATCTCAGAATAAGGTTGTGGCAGGAYTGAGGAGTCATTGAACAGATGCTGGGCTGAAATTAGAAGGTAGGTGATTTTTTATCCAGAGATCACATRAAAAATTACTGGGAAGATAGACTAGCCCTGGAGGAATATTGTGCCATGTCTTGATAAGAAAATTCACAATGAGAGAAACTGAGAGGCACAGAGAGTGACTTAGTCATGCAGTATGGTATGGTAAATGGAGGATATTAGAACAGACAGATGTAGATGGCTACTTGGAGAACTGCACTCTATCCATCTAGGAATGCAAGCAGGAATGTACCTTCAAAAAAAGGAATAGGAAAAKCTCATGCTTCTTTCTTAGAAGATGCGGTGGGGAATACTCACTGGTATTTCACACTCACTGACACTGCTTAATGGGCACTGCTGATTATAAAATGAAATAGTAAACATGCAATGAACTGCAACTGTTGTCCACAGTGTGCTGGATAATAAGAGATGAGTAAGTCTATACAACTGGCAGGTTTTCCTTCTGTGCTAGGAATTGGTAGCATTGAGGGTGAAAGTGTCCAGGGTAGTTTGACCAGGAAAAGAGTTCTTGTTTAGAGCTTGCAGAAAGAAAATGGCCTTGTGCCAAGGCCAGAGAGGCTTAGAAATGCACCCCTTGCAGTTAAAAATGCAGCAACGTTCCTAYATAATGGGGCTTCAGAGAAGAAATCTGTCAAAGCTGTGAATCTGATCACTGTGATCAAGGTTAGGCTGGATGGGGCTTTGAGCAGCCTGGTCTAGTGGAAAGTATTCCAGCTCATGGCAGGGAGGTYAGAAYGAGGTGAKCTTTAAGGTCYCTTYCAACCCAACCCATTCCAAGAGWGTATGATTCTATGATCTTCCAGGTCTCTTCTAACACAAACCATCCTATGATTCAATGATTTTGATGCTTTACAATCTAACTGTCCAGCAGGTTGTAACTTCACTAATATTGTCTTTGGTGGTRTTGTCCTATACCGCATTGCAGCCCTGGTCTCATGAGAAGATCTGAGAATACCAAAGCTCTACAGAAGGAATAGGGACTCTGGTTTATTTCAGTTCCACAGCATCCTTCATGGAAACCAGGAGATGTTGCCAATGGCTGGTCACTAAGTGTAGRTGATAACAAGCCACTCTCCGAAGTAGGCCTTTGCAACTGGTCTGGGTAGCTCACTGCCTTAGGAAGCCATTAAATTAAATAGAATTTAATCTCAATTGGTGGGGGCAGAGGTGGCTAGAATGGTTTGATGGAGCATTAACACCATTTGCTACTTGTTAAGAAAAGGGTAACATGCTTGGGGCTGTCTGATGGTCATGAGCTAGGATCCTTAGCTAGATGGGTATAATTAGATGACCTGAAGTCACCTTTTTGTCAGTCTTGTTTTCTACACCTCTCTGGTGTCATGTTCTGATGACTTGTGTGAAAGGAGAAGCTACTACCTGAGCATTCCAGGAGTCACACACACCCCATCCCCACCCAAGACTAACTGCTGAGACCACAGTCCCTTCTTAGAGAGCAGCTCCATGAGCCAATGGGTGTCCCTTTGTCCCTTTCCTCACTCACTCACTCACTCACTCACTCACTCACTCACTCACTCACTCACTCACTCACTCTCTTTCTCAGGTGCACTTCCTCCTCATTCGGGCTCAACCAAAGGTTTCCTATAACAGAGTCTCAGGCATCAGAATTTATAAAAATGAACAATTTAATAGAGCAGTACATCTGCAGGTCAGCTTGAGATGAATGCCTTCAGAGAGGGACCATGAACAGAGTTCCCAGGCAATTTTATACTTAAGACTTATACATGTGCTCTTAATGCACTTTTTTAGTCCAATGGTGATTTTTGGTCTGGATCTTCTAATATCAGATTCTTTCTCTGTCTCCATGCAGGCAGGCCATTGCCTTATTTTATTGAGTTGGTAGTTGTAGATGTCCTTATCTTCTGTTTTGCACTCCTTGTGCACCTGTTCACTGGCAGAACATGGGGAACTAATGAAGTGTTTTGCTCAGGATAAATATTACAACTAAAACATTAGTGTATTATCAATATTCTTCTCACACTAAAGACAAAATGCAGCACTGTACCAGTTACTTGGAAAATTAACTGTATTTCAGCCAAAAGCATATCAGTGAAAGTTTACAGCTTGTGGCCCAAGCTTCAGTAAATATAGATAACCATGCTAAGCACGTAAAGCTAAGCAAACAGTATTCTAAATCACACAATATTACAATTATGACTCATTCTATTTAAAACTTATTTAAGCTAAACAATTAATATATCTCAACACTTAATCATTGGTTGCTGCCATAAATAAATTCACAGTAAAAGCTTCATTCTTTTCAGGCTGTAACAGGAGTATCCTACAAGATGACAATGTTTGTACCTATGCCAAAATACACACTAGTTTACATATGAAGTAAGTGAAATTATCTAGTAATTTAACTTCCCAAATATCATGACAAAGATCTTAAAACAGGCCCAGCCCCCACAAAAAATGCAAGTAGCTGTTCAAATAGTAATGAAGCAGTAAGTTCCAAGGCTGTGCAGGATGCCTCTCTGATATCCTCCAGAATCCTTACCTATTGACGAAGTTTTTTCTGTCATCAGTTACTGATTCACTCATTCCAGGGAAGGGCTGCTTTCCAGTTTGGTTTGAATGCCGGTCCTCTAATCAGCTGGAGAAAAGGAGTCCCTTATATAAGCCAAAGAAAAGGAAATGCTTCTGCAGTACAGCTCACATGAATAGCTAGGACTGAGTGCTGTTTGGCTCCTGAAATCCAGCTTCTGCATCTTCTCGCCCTGTTTCTTTAGGGCTGTTTTGACTGGAAGGAGTGGGAATYTGGGAGGCTTTCCTCTTCTGACTGATTCTTTTTCAAGGCAGTCAGTGAAGGCAAGTGGAAGGCATGATCCCCTCCTCAGACAAAGATCTCAACGGGTTAGATAACCCCAGCTTTTTGGTGAGTCTGCTCTCTGAAGGGTAATTCTTGCATATAAACAGGTGCGAGCCCTGTGAAAGGAGGAGAAAGGGAAAGCCGGGGCTCAGGCTGCTGCAATGATTCTGGTGTGTGGTAAATTTCTGTCTTGGGTCTTRTCGATAAGAATCTGAGGAATGATTTCTTCACTACAGCCCCTGCTGCTGCTGCAGACTCAGCATACTTTCTACACTCTGGTGCCCTTCTAACTTTTTTTCTCTCCATTGTTTCTAAAATTATAATTTAGATGAATGKCAGCGCAAGTGTATCTGTACTGAAAAGCAAGTGAGCTTGTGGCTCCTTGTGGCTGTGTTGCTGGGTAAAGCATTTTATGTATTAATTAGAAAAATTACTATAGAAATTTAGCCTAGTAAAGACTGTGTTTCTTTGTCTTCTGGACTTATTTCCAGTGAGSTGAATTGTCAGAAAGATGATGAGAAAGAGGTTTGGGTGTCAGCTGAGGAAGGCACCCTGTAGAATTATAGCAGCTGTAAATGATGTGCCAGTCCAGAAGGGTGTGTTGCCCTGAGAATGCTGCTAGCTGTAACAGCCATGGGGCAAGGTCCTGGGACATGGCAGCCCCCTTCTTATCCCACAGCAGGGATCACCTCCATTAGAAACTAAAAGCTTTGCTTAGTTTCTGTCAGCAGGTGTGAAGGACTGGGGTCCTGCAACTCTCTTGCTACCTTGGTACACACTGCCTGTCTGTGCTACCTTGGAGGAAGCATTTAACCTCCCAGTGCACAAGTCACACATTTCTTGGGTGAGCTTGCTATGTGCCAGCTGTGGGCAGAGCCTCAGAAAGGTTCTCAGAGWCAGTCAGTTTTCTTTCATTATTTTTAACAGGCTTTCCATTTTAACTTGTTTTGCCATAACACATATCATACTTGTGAATTCTTATGATTTGAATCACCCTAAAGAAGGTAGAATACAAGGGTTTTACCTGCTGTTCAAGCAGTTCAGTTTCTGATTGCCTTCCTGATGCACTTATTTAAGAGGTGATGCTGTGTCTGAAGCCTGAGGCACATGGAAGGTGTACTGGTCCCCTGGATTCATGGGAGCAGCTGGGCTGAGAACCCCCAACAATGGTTTCCCTTCCCTGCTCCAGACTGCTTCTGCCTTGTCCTCCTGCCAGCATCTCAGCATCACAGGCTGACCTGAGGCTGGAATGCAACTCTGGAGGTCACCTTCTCCAAATGCCCTGCTCARGCAGCATTGCCCAGAGCCAGCTGCCCACAATTGTGTCTAGACAGTTTTTTAATATCTCTAAGGTTGGAGAATCTACAACTCCTCTAGGCAACTTGTGCAGTACTTGGTCACTCACAGCAAAAGAATGTTTTCTGATGTTCAGATGGTACCTCCCCTGGCATTTCAATTTGAGTCCAGTGCTTTTGCTCCTGTCTCATCCTGTTATCTCCACTCCATCCTTTTCCTGCTGAGCCCTGCTTGCTCCCCTCCAGCTTCTGGGGAGGGTCAGGCCCCTCATGTGATAATCATGCGGGGCTGTTACTGGCACAGGCTCTGCCTCCTGGTTAACACAGGGAAAATTGCAATGAAAAGAAAGGAGCTTACTGCTGTCTGCCTAGATTAGCATTTKTCTACCCATGGTGTTATTCAGCAGTAGYTGTCCCCAAATAACTCCATGCATGRKCAGTCTTAAGTATTTTGCAGTACRTTTGTTAATTCATGGCTCAGGCTCTCTTGTTCTGAAATGAAAATATCTGTACAGGGAGTTATTAAGGAATACCTTTTGCTCTTGAAATTCATGCCTGGGTTCAGTTTGAATTAACTCTGCCTTCACCTATCTRTTTAGAAGTATCTGCAATCTCCCACTTTGCCTAGGCTGGATAAGTACACCATGTTTGTTAAAGAGGCTTCTCYACCCTATGTATCCCATAGTAGAGTCTGAGGCTTTAAGTTGATTAAGGCAGTTTGAACGGTACTGCAGAAGAAAGAGCTGGAGCTGGGTGCCTRTGGGGAGGGACCTTGAACAAAGAAATTCGTGAGCAATTATATCCTTACAAAGTGAGTTTCCCACCCCTCACACATTCAGATCAATAGCAACATTAGGGTTTGGGTTCTTAGGGATTACATGGCCTGTTCTCAACAGTGTGATTTAAAATGGGACTTTGGAGGCTCAGYCAAGAGAATGGAAACGTGGAGGTTTCAGGTAAATGAATTTGGTATTGAATTAAATGAGTTAATCTGCCACACCTGCAAAATTTACATCAGAATGCAACATTAATTTTACATCCCTGTRCCCTGACCCCAGMACTAYCTGTTTCCTTCCTTCAGGGYCASGAGCATTAYTGCAGACACTGCTGTRTTGGACATTTTGGTGTCTTCAGGCTCCAGCAGGACTTGGAGGATAAAAATGCAAAAGAAGTTTGATGCAGACAAATTGTTTATGTTTCTCCAGACAGCAGGTTTCTGTCCCTGCCTGACAGAGCAGGGCAGCTCACGAAAAACCCTCTGCTGCCAGCATACTGAGGACTTGCTGGTTGGAGATGGGTCAATGAAACAAATGTTTTGGGGATCTTAATTCRCTTTTGCATCTGGGTCTAAGTGTAGTGGTTAGCAGCCTCCCTCCACCCTGTGTGTGTGTGCACAGGGGTCAGGGTGGGTTGGTAGGAGGCATGGACAACCAGGAGAATTTACTCTTTAATTTACAACTTTAAAGCTAATGAAGTGGCAAATGAAGTGAAGCACTACTTTGCTTTCCTCARCAAAATGCAGCTTTATATAAAAAACTCTGCAAGGCATAAAGGTCCCTGGGAAGCCCCAGGGGCTTCTGGCTGCCTGGGAAGAGATCTGAGCCTTACTGGGTAGCAGTTTCAGCCAGCTCCTTTGGCATGGATGTTGGGATTTCCCATCTACTGTGTCCCTGTGTCTCCTSCAGTTCCTCGGTAAGAGCAGGGTTTTCTAGAAAGACAAAAGGCAGGTGTCTCTATCAAGGCAGAACACTGGTAAGGGTGAGCATAAATAGATTGGAAAGAGAAAACCAAGGAAATTAAATATAAAATGTGCTTCTRCTCAGTAATTAGTGGCAATGAGGTGTTTTAGTATATTTTATCAAAAATGCTGTTAGGGAGGAATTGCCAGGAGGGACAGAGACCAGGGGACAGTGCAGCTTTCACTGCTGAACCCACTGCACACTCTTCCTTGCTTCTGGTTKCAATTTCTTCATCTTAGCTAGATTTTAATGATACCATCACAATTTCCCYAGATGTCCCTTTGAGATTGAGACACCCTCTAATGTTTCTTCAGGCCTAGRCACACTAGCACATACAAAAATTTTCCATATGTAGTTTTATGTCTCTGTTTTAACTTCCCCTCCTTGTGTTTTGGATTTTTTAAAAATATCGTGGCACTGTTGAAAGCTACAGAGGAGGTGTTCCTGCCAGACATGGAGCATGGCTGCAAGAGAAGCAGCTGTTGGGTGTCTACAGGGCTGGGCTGTGGCTAACAAAATGTCTCTCCTGYTGTCCAGGGTGAAGATGGTAGCAACTGCTCTTCCTCACCAGCTCATGCTGCCTGGGGCCCAGAGAAAGGTGGGGGCWCTGGCCATGGTGGAATAGAGCTTGGCTACACTGTCAGTGATGTGCCTCCTTGGCATCTGTGCATTCTGCTGGGCATTCAGGTGAGATGGGGAAACAGGTGGAGGCTGGAAATAGAGAAAAGCTACRTGGCTGTTCAGCCAGTTAATTGGGGTGAAACCTGAATTTGGGCATGCTTTACCTGCACTGGGCTTGACTGGAGCTGAGAGGCTGGATCTCAGTGAACTCAAGTCCTTTGGTCCACATCCTGAGCATTGACTGTTATCCTTGTGCCCACAGCTACATTGCACCCTTTGAAGTACAAATGGTCAGGCAGAGTCCTGGGACTGGGGTCAAATAGTTATTAAGAATGTATTGGCTACCTTGGCTGAAGATAGTCAAATATGTAAGGGCTTCTGAATTTCTGCCCTCCCATGGCAACAAAAACTCAGCAGAAGTTCTGGCTGGTGTCTGTGCCCAAGTGTGTTAAATGACCAAGTGGCACCAATGCCATGCTGGGTAGGGAGCCTGGGGGAAAAGAGACCTCAGARTCATTAAGGGAATGATAGAYTGTGCTTTGAGGTTGGTGGAATTTYKTACTTTGTTTCCTTRAATAGAAATTTAGAGTGTATCAACCCAAGGTTTTCTGAACACATCTGCATCATAATTTTAATAAAACATGCTTCATACAGTGAGTTGCTGAATGCCACCAGTTCCACCACTGCGGTCCTGTGTTCCACAGAGAGAGTTAACAACAAAGGTTAATAATTGAAACAAAAAGAAGTTTGAAAAAATAGTTTCAGATTTAGTCATTAATTACAGGCCATTRTAGAAATACATCTGTGACTCTTCTRACAAATACAATGCCCAATTTTCCATTCTTTGGCACCCACTTTTATGGTTAYCCATAACTGCACTATGTGAGAAAAGCTACTTAGGGCAAAGAACATGTAGCTCCAATGTGCCATCTTTTTATGTCATCCTTTGTGGTGCAAAAAAAATAGGCTGAAATATTTGCATTACTTTGCCTGACTGCTTTCTTCACGTAGCTTGGGGTGTCCCCAGCTTCCTGGAAAATTATGTGCAACAGCTTTGTCTGCAGGTGCTGGGGATAAACTGGCTGTGTCTCAGCCTCAGAAGTCCAGACAGYGGCCTCAGAAGTCCAGAGTACTACAAAAGGTCTTTGGACATGTAAAGGAGGAGACATTTCAGTGGGTGCATTGCAATTCTTGTAGGTGCTTTGGAACAGYCCCTAACAGAGCATTAAAGCTGACAAAAATTAAAAAAAAAGAGAGAGAATGGGTGATACCAGAATCACCCAAGCACAAATCTGTGAGTTCTCTCAACAACATGATAATAATATACAGCCAGTTTTGTGTCCTTCTTCACCCAGTCTTTCTCTGTGGCTCCTAGCACTTCTTGACAGCCATGGGAGGTCTTGTTGCCATTCCGCTGATCCTCTCCAAAGGGCTTTGCCTTCAGAATGACCTRCTGACCCAGAGCCACCTGATCAGCACCATCTTCTTTGTCTCAGGAATYTGCACCATGCTGCAGGTCCTCCTGGGAGTCAGGTAGGCCAAATGCAAGAAGTGAGAATGTGAGCAATTACTGTGTGCTAGTCCACCACCCTGTTGTAGAGTTTATCAGTGAGAGTCATTTGTTACCTTTGGGCAATCAGGGCTCATGCCAAAGCACCCCGAAACTGCTGAGAGCTTTGCAGGGCTACCTTGCTATTCTGAATTTTGTATCTCCTGATATTCCATATACCTTTTGTTGGGCTCATAAGGAATCTGTCCTCAAAATAATAGAGCATTGCAACATGCAGGTGAAAGTATCTGCTTGCTCCTTACTCCAGGGATTCTCCAGCTGTGGCAGGAGCCTTCAGGTTTGGATCCAGGGTCAAGAGAGCACAGATTCTACAGAAAACTCTAGGGGAGGGGATAACTAGGAGAAATTGAAGTCCATCTGCCACCACTTAGGGACTCAKGGAGGAGCTCAGCAGCATGTCCTGTTATGTGGTGCCACTTCCCAAGCTCAGGGATTGGTGGCACAAAAAGTGAATCCTTTGCTGATGAGCCGTTTAAGAGCCATTAGTGTTATGAGCATGGAGTTACCATCCAGTACCCAGAAAATGAAGCATTTAATGAGAGAGATGATTGCAAGTACTCCCCCTTTCCAGAAAAGACCCTCTATCTTTGCTGATCTTGAAAAATTTCTTCTATTCCCCTTGTCATAACTCTGGGCTGCCTCTCTCTTTCCACAAGGTGTTTTTAACTCCAGTATGGTGGGAATCCATGTTTCTTGCTTCAAGACAAAAATTATCTTTATGCTTTTTTGGCTTCTGAATCTGAGAGACTCTGGTTAAAACTTCCACCATCAAATCACTGGTCAACTGCCAGATCCACAAAACGTTTTTACTCCTCCTGCTTCATTCACTACTGAAACTTTTCTATCTCTCTTTGTCTTAAGAAGTATCTTTAGACAAACTTCCCAGAAGATGCTCCCCTTCTCCTACATTGTTAAAGGATTAGTGGAGGAAGGAGAGGCACCCTGACCAGAAAAAAAAAAGAAGAAACTGGTTCTTCAGCTAAATTCTGACKGGGGTGGATGACCATTGCTGCTGGTGCAATTTAGGAGTTCTGAGTTCTCCCAGGCACCCTCCAAATGCTTCCATGAATTCCTGACAGCTCAGATGTGCCCTGCTCCCTGCTCCTCCATTAGCTGAGGATGAAAGAGTAGCAGGGAGCCTCTCTCTCCCATGGCTGAAAAGCTAATTGGGGTACAATAGATCAAATTAAGTGGTAAGAAGTTGTTCCCATGGGATAAACTCGAATGGCTTTTGCGTGCTGAGGGTGCAATTGCTTTGTTGCTGACCCCAGCAATAAGGCAAGAGRACATTAATGAGGTAATAGCCAAAGGAAAAGCTGACCCACTGCAACCTGCAGYTCAGTCATGTTACACAGCATGAAAAAGCAGCCAAGAGTCCCAGACAGTCACTGGAGACACTATCAGAGGCTCCTGAGGGGAGACAGAGGTCACTTCTGTTATGGTAAGCCCTGCTTAGTAAATGCTTGGACATCATGTACTGTTTATCAAAACATAATATTGCCTTCCCTAATTCTGCAGCTTTCCCTCTTGCAAACAGGAAAGAGTTCAGTGTGCCCCAGAAGTATTGCCTTGACACCCCATTTTGCTCTGAGCCCTTCTACATCAACACTGAGCTCACCCATGCCAGCACAGGCTGTGGAATAGCTTGAAGACCAACACAGCAGGAACTATAAATCTATTGTTAGATTCTAAGTCATGGCCCAAGGCCTTCTTTGTTTCTTTTTGTTTGTTTTTTGTGCCTTGCCCAGCAAAATTGTTTCAAAAAGMAAGGTCTATTTGACAGCGGTTCGGTTGTGCATGGCTGATATATTTGACTGAAATATTTGTTTTAGGTGACAGAGACATGGTGCAGTTACAGCTATGCCATCTCTTATTTTCAAGAATGGTAGAAATGCCTCTGTTTCAGGGAAAGTTGTGCCCTGCAAAAGCACTCACCTGAATTGCTGTCCCACTGCTTTACTGAGCAGGTGCCATGAGAGCTCCTTGCTTTAGGGGTTCCTCCTAAGGGTGGGGTTTCCTTTCTAGTTCCAGTGGAAATGCAGAAGAGGACTTGACATTAAAACCTAGTGTACTTAAAGCCAGGTCACATTTTCTGTCACACACAGACTAAACATCGTTGTGACATGGAGAGTAGTTAGTCCTTGTGTTCATGAGCAGGTTGTGAAGAAAACTGAAGCAGTTAAAGAGGACAGAGGAAGCAATTGGATACTGGCAAGAYTGATGCTGAGCTTTTCTTCAGTGTCTCACCATCTTTCTTCCTTGGTCCTTTTCCCTCCTCCAGATTTTTCCTTTGGTTGTTCTGCTCTGTGCAGGTCTGTGGTCTCATCAGCCATTAGGACAACTGCTTTTTCCTTAACACGGGGTAGCAGGGTTGTAACAGTGATGAGCCCCTCCATTGCTGGTATTTGAACCTCAGCTCTCACCCCATGTCATTGCTCTTGCATGCAATGGGCAGCAATTCCTACTTATGGTCAGTGATGGTGACCTGCTGCAATGTGTCAAAAGATACTCTCAGAGGCCATGGGCAGACTGATTTTAAATTTTGGTTTTCTTTCCTTTCTCTTACCCCTATGGAGCTGAGTTTCTAGCATTCACACTTGTCATTTTTTCCCTCTACTCTCTTTCCAGGCTGCCTATTGTACAAGGAGGGACTTTCACATTTGTGACCCCCACCTTGGCAATGCTGTCTCTCCCCAGTTGGAAGTGCCCTGCCTGGACCCAGAATGCCACCCTGGTGAATACCTCCTCACCAGAATTCATCCAAGTCTGGCAGACACGGATGAGAGAGGTATATTACATTTTCAGTGGCATCTGGATCAGGGCTGTTTGTTTTCAGKGAAGTGCCTGACCAATCATGCCCATCACAGCTGGAAAAACTTGTATTTCCAATGGACCTTGGTGCTCATGCTGTTCAGCTTCCAAAGCATCTATTCTCTATCAAAAAAGCAGGTGCTTCACTGCTGCTGAACAAGGGACATGTTCAGTGATTTATGGCCCCTGCAAAGTCCCCACTGGTAAAGTCAGATCCCTTTTCCATAATGCATGGTTAGCCTTGAGGAAGCAAGAGAGGGAAAATATTTTCAAGGAAAGGACCCTGTCTAAGCATAGGAAACCTAGTAAAAAAATGCAAGGCAAAGCCTTCTGTAAATATTAAGGACAAAGGCATTCTTAGGTAATCAGAAAAGGGTCTCACTTTATTCTAYATTGATTGCCTTAATTAGAGCAAATGTCTAAACTTGCCTCTGTTGATCCATTTGTTTRTGTGCTTTCCAAACCACTTGGGAAATGCTGAAAGCTCACCACACATTTGCTGTGCAGCACAGGCTGCTCTCTGCTAATACACATAAATCTATCACAAGGACACCACTGACATCTCCTTTCACCCCGAGTCATTCACCCAGCCCCTGTGTTTCTCTTCCCTTTGGAACTGGGGGAAGGAAGGTGCTCAGCACCACAAAGGTCCCAGCCTGGGCTTATCACCAAATCTGAGAAGGCAGAGAGCAGCCTCACCCCTGCCTGAAGCTGCCACTGAATCGAGCAGCATTTCAGAATGTAATTGCTGGCTCCTTGGCAGTGATTGTCAAAACTAGGGAAGTTCAGGATGATAAATGTGTTCCTGGAGTGAAACTGATATCCGGAAAGAAAAGAGGCTGTAATCAGTCACTTGCCCCACCAGTGTGCTGAAAGAGACCCAAACCCGTCCCAAAAGGGAGATCAATAGAGATCATGGCCCTACACCTGTTCTCGGRGCAAGAGCTTTTCTTCTCTCCCTTGAGGGAGCAGGCAGGAGAGTGCAGGGCAGGTGATACATGCTTGGGTAGCCCAAGAAGACAGGGAGGAGGTGATCTCTCAAACAAAATTAGCCCTGGTGAGGACTAAATCCATCAGCCAAGGCAGCAGTTGCTGTGCTGCTGCTTTGGTGGTCCTTCCTCACACATAATTTCTGCCAGGTTTTACTGTTGTCAACACRAGGCCTCTAAGCCAGTTTGTCACTAGAAAGTGAACCTGGCTCTYATGCTGGATTTGCACTAACATGAAGGAAAGGCTCAACAGCTGGAGCTCCTTCCAAACTCTTCCTTTCTTCCTCCATTTTCTCCCAGGTGCAAGGAGCTATTGTTGTAGCTTCCTGCTTTCAAATCTTCGTTGGATTTTCTGGCCTGATTGGATTTCTGATGAGGTTCATCGGCCCCCTGACAATTGCCCCCACCATCACCTTGGTTGCACTACCTCTGTTTGAGTCAGCGGGGGATATGGCTGGGGAGCACTGGGGCATAGCATTCATGTAAGTCTCATTTTTCTGTGGAAAGCTGAGTATACAAATCACCTGCCTTTAATACGAAACCAAGTGTCACAGTCTGTAGCAGAGTTCCCCTGGGTTCAAGGTTTATTTGTTGAGCACCAACACATGACAGGCTTGTGCAAGGCAGCCACGTGATATAGTAGTTCTCCTCCAACCCCAGGAGGCTAAAGCCCTTAGCAACAAAGCAAAACCCAAATATGAGTTTTAAACCCCTGATTTTGTGAAAATCTAAAGCTCRTAAGTCAGTAGAGTTACAAGCCTTTCCCATGCGTGTGCAGTCTCTGTCACAGTTGTCTACATGCACTGTCTTACACACCCATTATTTACACTGAAAAGACATTCCAAAAATGTCAAAGTTGAGCACTCAGAGTTAGGTATTCAATGTTGAAACAGCTGGTGCTTTATGTATTGTCTTCACATRAGTAGGAGGAATTGTTCTCTCCAGAGAGGGCCTCGGAGGCTTTGGAAAGGTCTATTTGCACATGTAACTTTGCAGCAATCAGTTCTTTCAAGGACATTTGTCTGCCTGCCCTTCTGCATGAGTKCAGAGTGTGGTGGAATTTCCTTGTGATTTCAGAAATCAATTAAAAAAGGAGAAATGCCACTGCATGGCTGCCTTGCAGACTTGGCACCTTCAGGTCCCTAGTGTAGACTTCCATGTGGGATAGCATGCAACAGGACTAGGTTGTTAACCTCTCTCTGGGCTCCCATTACTTGGGAGCTGGCTTTGGAGACTCGGGACACAAGCTTGACTGTAGCCCTGGGAACACAGCACATTTTGTGGGGACATGCTCCAGCACACTTCTCTCCTGGACWTTCCTCCTCCCTGCACCTCCCAGACACAAAAGCTACCTCTCTTCTCCACCCCCACTTCCTCACCTAGCTGGTCTCTTCCACCAGCACTCCATATGATTCCRAATCCTGCTTGAAACCCAGCTGTCTTTTCACCATTGGTTTTCCCATCACATCCCTGGCTTGTTGCCCTGTTGTCCAGCTCTGGTGATTTGTCCTAACCTCTTTGCTTAGCCAGTGTGAATTTTCCTCTACAAATTGTATGTTCTTGCCTGGACTATCTCCTTTCTCTGCTGCTCTTCTCCAGCCACTAGCTCCTAACCTCAGACTCATGCTTGACCTCTTTGCCCAGCTATGCCACTCCATTAATGGGGTCCCAGTCCTTCAGCCTGTGTCCCTGCTCTCAGCCCAAGTCACCCTTTCTGTCCTGTTCATTTCTGTCCCATCTTCTACCCATGATAATCCCAATCCTTTCTTTCTTGATTTAGATACCTTAACCCTGGTCTGATCACTGTGCTCTGAGCCATCCCAGATGTGTCCTCTTTTGCTGCCTTCTCCATGTTCCATGGGTATCATTAGGAAAGGAGGGATAGCAGGGATGGAGAAAGAGGAAKACATGAGCCATGTGGTCTCAGGCCTGTTGTTCAGCCCCACCACATCCCAGAGCTCTCATGAAGGAAGATCCCCACTGTTGCCTCAAGAAATTTCTCTAGTGTGTGGTGACTTACTCCCTGGTGATGGTGCACATACAGTACATCACTGGGCAAGGCCTGGATTCTGACAGCTCAGAATCTTTATGGTCTGCAAATGTGAAAGTCTGAGATGTTTCTGCTGACTTCTTTGGACATAGAGTTGTTGTTGCAGATTAGGCATACCTGAGCAGATTTTGTGAGAAATAGCAAAATCCTTTACCTCAAAGAACAAGTTCTACTAAATCTCAAATTTCTCCAGGTCATCAGGAGATCTTGTTACTGATTTYCTAGGTAAAATGACCTTTTCAATGCAGACTGTATGTTATGTCTATTTCCTGAACATCACTCTTTGAAATAGGTTTGGTATGTATTTTTCCAAAAATATTTGGCCTGTGGCAGACATTTTCCATGGAATTTTTCATCCTGAATGGGTAAAGTTAGGCAGAGTTATAAACAACTGAAAATAGAGTTTGTTACTAGAATAGTTAGAATAGTTACTAGAATTGTTACTAGAATACTAGGCAACCTGAATAATAAGCAGTGACACCTCCCTGAGACAGAGGAGGGTTCTGCAGTGAGTCATAAGGCTGCTGAGCACCTTTGTTCATGCAAATGCACAAAATGTGCACTCAGTCTGTCTGGGCTCTGTAGCATTAGAAACCACAAATTGAAACCACTTTCTCCTCAGACTTTCTGCCTGCAGTCATGCAGTGCTTTGAATTGTGACCTAACTTTTGAATTGTGATAGCTAACCTCAGGCTGTATGCTGTGGAGTGTCTGCAGAGAAGTGAGGATAGCATTTTCTTTGCACTGTTGTTCTGCCTATCCCTGAATATTGAAACTACAGTTCATCACCTTTTTGCACATGGACAACTACCAGTTTTCCACCCACTGTCGGTGCACTTCAGCTAGTGCAATTGATTTCTCACTAAATCCTATCCTGATTAACTCACCCAATGTATAAAATTTAGACTTGTTATAAAACAATGAGGAGCTCTTCAGAGGCCTGGTTAACACAGGAAATGTCCATAGTCTTCTACCAGCTCAGCAATCAAAGTGGGATGCCCAGTCCCTGCCCTCTCTCCACATTTGGCTGTCTTCAGCTTCATCTGGTTGGCCCTTCTTGAAGGAAAGATGCATGGGGGCAGGTTGTGAGTGCTGCTGTTGGCAAATGTGTCCTACAAAAGGGATGGGACAGGAGCTGCACCTGCGGTTACTTCCACCAGCACGAGCCCCAGGTGCTGCTGGGGGCACACGGGAGCACCCCTGCCCTGGAGGGCCCCTTCATCGTGCAGCCCTTGCAGACAGAGGGCTGTGCTCTCCCCTTCTCARCTGGCTGGGAGGGCTCCGGGGGCACCATGTGCAGCCCCACAGTCCCACCATGTTTTWTCTTTCAAAACAGGGATTTACACAGCCAAACCAAATCCTCTTCTTTTACTGTGCCACAAGAGCTTTTTTCCCCTTGAGGAACAGCACAGGTAAACCTGAAATCAGGAAACCAATAAATTCTGTCTTTCTAGTGTATCTGAATTACAGAGGCAGGACCTGAACCTTGAATATCTGTCAGGTCTTTCTTAGGCATCATTTTTAACCTTTCTGCAACTGTGTCATACTCACAGATGCACTACCTGGAGTGTAAGTCTTGAAACAATAAGGAAAATGAGATATTTGCAAATGTGCAGGAGCTATCAGTAGATTATGATGGAAAGCTTGTTCCACCTCTGGCTTGATGGAGTGGGAGCTACCCTCCGCTGCTGAGAACCTCTCTTTTTGGATCCTTAGAGTCTGGGTTCTTGGGTAGCAGGTCTTCACTTAATGTGGGGACAGGTGGGCAGCTGGGGACCCACTTTGTTTATGGTYTCATTTTCCCTCCTTCTAGGACTATTTTTTTCATAATTCTGTTCTCTCAGTACCTGAAAAATGTTGCTGTGCCAYTGCCATCTTACCAGAGAGGCAAGAAGTGCCACTTCTTTCCAGTCTACCTCTTCCAGATCTTCCCGGTATGTTGGAGTTCCGGGAGACCAGGGGATTGTGACAGAGGGACTGGGCTCCCTGACATCTGCCCCGGGCTGCCTGAGCTCTTTCCACTCGTGTCCAGATGAGTTAGCACTTGCCAGCTGAGCCTGGGCAGCAAGGGGCAGAGGGGAAAAAGCTCCCCACGGCCCTGACCATTGGGAGGGAGGGAGACAAGGAGAGAGGGCCACCAGGAGGCCCTGTTGCCTCTTTGCCTTCATCCCGTGTGCAGGGGAAAGGGTCGGGCAGGGACCCACCTTGTCCCAGCCATGCTGGAGAYGCAGCCATACCTTAACCAGACGCCACTGCTGCATGTGACGGGCAGGTGCTGCTGGGGCTCTCTCTGAGCTGGCTGCTGTGCTACATGCTGACAGTGACCGGCGTCCTCCCTGCGGACCCCACCGCCTACGGCCACATGGCCCGGACGGACACTCGTGGGGACGTTCTGTCGCAGGCTCCTTGGTTTCGGCTGCCTTATCCAGGTACCACTGCCCCCATTCCCCATCCTGCTTGCACCTCCACTTAGGAGCAGGGAGAGATTAAATGTTTAAAATCAGGCAAACACCCACAGGTATTCCTGCTGTTCTTCCTTCCCCGGGGCAGATTTCAGGGTAAATGTGCCCCTCCCATCTGAGCTCTTTCCTTGCAGGCCAGTGGGGAAAGCCGACGGTCAGCCTGGCCGGCATCTTCGGCCTCCTAGCCGGGGTGATCTCCTCCATGCTGGAGTCCGTGGGCGATTACTTCGCGTGTGCCCGCCTGTGCGGGGCTCCGCCGCCGCCAAAACACGCCATCAGCCGCGGCATCGGGGTGGAGGGCATCGGCTGCCTCCTGGCTGGGGCCTGGGGCACGGGCAGCGGCACCACATCCTACAGCGAGAACGTGGGGGCCCTGGGCATCACCAAGGTGAGCCTCCTGCAGCGGGGTGGCTGTGCTGCGTCCCGGAGGGTTCCCCCCCGGGTGTGTGCACAGGAGTGTGGTGCACGTGGTTGTGTCTGGATCTGGGGAATGATCTTAGCGTGCCTTCTGAAAGGCATCCTGGAAAATTGTGCCCTGCACATTGGAGACCAGCTCAGCAGCACTATGAGTGACTTGACAAAGGCAGGCAGTGCTTCCCTTTCTCTGCTTCTGGTCTGCATGGGGAATTAAAAATGCATTCACTCGTGGCACCTGGCCTAGGTAGGGCTACAGAGAATGTGCTGCATCTGAGCGAACCTGGGGAGGATGAGAGAGGAGAGGAAGGGAAAGGGAAAATCTTTAWTAGGGCTTCAAATTCCACAGTTTTATAACACTAGGATGGCAGTTKTGAGAAGTAGACTATTTCTTTGGGGTTATAAAATGGGATAGCAAAGGTTTATGTTTTTAAAACTCTACATTTTGTGAGTACCTTGAGTATATCAATTACTCTTATCAGGGAAAAAAGTTTCCAGAGATAAGCTTGAGAATCAGATCATAGATTTTCACTAAGATTTACAGCCAGAGGATAGGCTGACAGACATCTAGTTGCTAACTGGACAACATTTTCAAATGACCGTCAGAGCAAAGTCCTGCCAGAAGAGCTATGAATCAGTAAATAAATGCAGAATTTAACTTACAGCTTCCACTCTATAATACTGCTTATTTCACTCAGTCCCAATAATCATTTTTCACAGATTGAAGTGTTGCTGAGGTGGCTGCCTCGAGCACWGAGGGCTGTCTGGATGCCTGCATGGAGTCCCGTTTAGCCTGTCACCATGTGTACGTTGCCATTAGGAAGTCTGTGCACATTAACCATCTACCTGAGCCAGTTCTTTCCTGGCATGTAGTTTGTTCCATGTATTGTRTGTATGGGATGCTGCCCGGGCTCATAACTGCCAGATTATAGGACATGTATTCTCACAATGTACACTAAATGGACATGCCATCCTTGCAGATTCAGGAGAGATATTTCCCTTGGATCCCACCTTTGCTCACTCTGTCTGCACTTGAAAGAGCTGAAAATACAGTGTCATCTCAGTCAATTTAAATCAGTGTAAACACTCTGGTTGGGACAGATGGAGACKCTGAGAGCACAAGGCAGATTTAATTTCTTTTTTTAAATGGGAAACATGTTTTTCCATAACAAATGGAAACACAAGGGATTTGTTTCCTACTTAAACAGAGATGGCCAGCACCACCTGAGAAGTCTTTGGAGGTCTCAGATACACACAGGGGCTGTCAGATAAGGCAAGGAGAAGCTGCTAGAAGCTGCCAAGGTACAACATTTTACAAGGCACCAGGCACCAACATTTAAACAGCTTGGTAAGGCCCAGTATACCAGTACTGAGCACTCACTTCCAGGAAAAGGAGGATTTTAAAGAGAGGTAAAGGCCTAAGAGTCACTACWTATTGTGGGGAACTYGGCAATTTCTTCAACCTTAAGAAARAGAACTGATTTTGTTGTTTTTYTGATATAATTGAAAGAAATGCTGAACTAGTGGCTTTAGCAGAATATGGTCATGGTGGTATCACTGGATGAGRTCTTTTGCCTTTAAGGCCAAGTYCATATATGTGGTATTTCAACATTTTGGCAAATTGGGAATCTGAATGTTTGTTCTAATCCTGAAACAAATAGATCTGTTGGTTTTTATTAATTAACATTTAGATGGTAATAGTGTCCCAAAGTTTTAAGCCAAGGAATTTAAAAAGCCCATCTGAAGGCAATGCATGATTTTATTTTGAAACTCAAATCTTTTTAATTTATCTTTCACAATCAAGAAAGACSTAGAATATTTTAAAGGGACATTAAGAAATACTTAAAAAGAGGCACTACTAGTTTCTGAGAATGTTTTTGTTGAAAGCATTCACAAAAATCCTCTTGTAATTAGACATTCTTCAGATAKTTAAAGGGAGGGATTAAAATATTTAATTGAATTATAAAATGTTTGCAGAGGATTACAGAGTTTCCCTGACACAAATGTTGTARGTTTAGCATGACTCTTTAGGCAGTCAAAGTTTTGGTGTGGGCAAGGCATATCTTGAATTGGAAGTTTAACAAATATTGCTGCTTTTCTTTTCACTTTCCATGTAAATGTCTCTTTCAACCCTTTGTTTGGCAGATATTCTTTTTCTTTCCTATTCGTATACTATAAACAGATCTGAATGAAAGGTATGGCTTGATGCTTCATCCCATCTCTGTTGTAGTGTTCAGCCAAGAAAAGGCTACCCTGACTCTTCCTAGGGGAAACAAGAAAAAAATGGTTTTACTGAAGATAGATGGGTGATGAGAGATAGGGACAGATCAAGAGACTTCCTCACTTCTTATTTCTTGACCATAGAAAGGACATATCWGATCCCAGAGTTCAGGATGGAGCAGCCAACTAGCTCTGCTCTCTGAAATTTTGGTCTCTGGGGGATGGAGGGATCATTGTGGGACACCTCGTTGAAAGTCACTTTTAGACAACAATCCAAACCCTGGTGGAAGGATTGTCCACTCAATTGACTAGGAGGTTGCAGCACCAGGCTGTATGTATGCCAAGATATTCCTAGGCTAGAGCAAGAATAAGACTGTATGTATGGATTACTGTGCTCTTAATTTAACTTTTAAATTTCAGTTTAACAGCAAACTGTTGAAATCCTGACAACAGTAGGAGAGAGGATAACACCGAGTAAATAGGTGTAGTGCTCTCAGAGTGCCTTTCATTATAAATATTTATGGTGTATAAATACTGGTGCTTCCCATTCAGTGCCAGCATCGCAGCTCACCAGCAGCTGTATCCAAACCTGTTCCTGAACATTCCATGGAGTACTTGGGCCGGAGCTGCAGCCCCTGCCTGGCAGGTTTGTGCTGGAGCCTGTCACCCCCTTTCTCCGCTGGCCGGTGCATGACTGCTCGCTCTTCCTCTTGTCCCAGGTCGGGAGTCGGATGGTGATCATTGCTGGTGCCTGTGCCATGCTCCTGAGCGGCATCTTCGGGAAAGTTGGGGCARTGCTTGCCAGCATTCCCACCCCTGTGATTGGAGGCATGTTCCTTGTGATATTTGGAGTTATTGCGGCAGTGGGGATTTCCAATTTACAGGTAACAGCTGTGTGAGCTCTGTTTCATCCCTGGTGAAGGGGACTTAATTTCATTGAAACAGAGAATCATAGAATGAGCTGAGCTGGAAGGGACCCACAAGGACCATYGAGTCCAACTCCTGGCCCCATGCAGGCCACCCCAAGAATCACCATGATCCTGAGAGCATTGTTCAAACACTCCTTGAACTCTGTCAGCCTTGGTGCTGTGACCACTTCCYTGGGGAGCCTGTTCCAGTGCCCAGCCAMCCTCTGGGTGAAAAAACCTTTTCATAATATCCAGCCTAAATTTCCCCTGACTCASCTTCATGCTCTTTGCTTTCACAGGTCATGAGAGTARAGATCAGTGTCTGCCCCTCTGCTTCCCCTTATGAGGAAGCTGCGGAGTACAATGAGGTCTCCTCTCAGTCTCCTCCAGGCTGAACAAGCCAAGTAACCTCAGTCTCTCCTCATGAAGCTTCCCCTCCAMACCCATCACCATCCTCGTGGTCCTCCTTTGGACATTCTCTAATAGCTTTTTATCTTTCTTCTATTTTGGTGTCCAAAACTGCACACAGGACCACAGTTTCAAGTAAAATTCTTAACAGACTGTGTCAGTTATAGCCACACTGCAGCAAATGTAAACATTTATGTTGGCAATTCCTCAGGTAAAGATACAGGGCTGTACCCAGAGGGGCTGAATCGAAAAGGGCTCCCTGGTTAGGGAAGGGCTGGCTGGCACTGGGGCCTGCAGGACCACAAATGCCCCAGCAGCACCAGGGCTGGGCCCCCTTCTGATTGTGGTGTTTGCATCCCACTGTGTCTCATGAATACAACAGTAATCCACAATTGTAAACATGTAGTGTATAAATTTTCTCCGTGCAGTATACAGATATGAACTCCTCAAGAAACATCTTTGTTTTTGGATTTTCTGTATTTGCTGGCCTCACAATTCCCAGCTGGGCTAGCAAGAACAGTACACTGCTGGAAACAGGTAAGAAGTGATATCAGAAGCATTTTCTTAGCATAAAACTGAAGGAAAGGCTTATCCAGAGAAATCTTTTAAAATACARTTTTTCCTGATGAAGTGCTGAAACCTGTGCTTTGTCTGTTGCCTGTTTCTTTCTTTGAGGGTTGTTCTTGCCTCTGATGCACAGCTCTGGTGCAGAAATCTCTGCTTTTGGTCTGTGACTGCACCACAGCAAATTCCTCTTGGGCTAAGGATTGTAGAGCACTTCCTTGGGACACATTCCTGGGATGGGGCAAGAGAATACTCCAGGRCGGAGTCTTGGTCAAAGTCTTGATGAATGAGGCTTTCTCATGTGCTCATACACAATAAAATGCTGTGCTTTCAAAATGGAAGAGCATACTCCTCTACTAAATTCCATCAAGTTCACTTCATTGAAATTGCCAGTCCTCCAACAGCTGCCCCTTCATTGTGTCTTGTGTGACTAATGGCTTCATCACAAAGGCTGTGGTGTCCTCTCTGACAGTGTATGTGCTGTGCTGAGTGGGCTTATTAGAGAGCTCACAAAGCACATGTTCTACAGATGGTCCATCAGAGGCTCAGAGCCACAGGGCTTTGCTCGTGGCCCTTATCCCTCAAGGGGGAACAACATACCTGGTGAACCTCTGGTGAAATCCCGTGCTAAATATACTCATATGAAGCTTGTAGTTCTGTAGGGAGCTGTTAGGTGTTACATTGTGGAAGTGCAGAATGTGTTTGGAGCAGAAGGTGGCTTTTTCTTGGACAGTACTGTGGTCTGCACTGTTAACAGGCTCTTAATGTATTTATGAGCCATCTCCTGCCCACCATGGATCTGGGAATAATCATGTAGAATAAAACAGTGGGTCTGAAACTGGCTGTGAGATGATTCTCCCTTCCACTGCCAAATCTTACATTCTGCTTTGGGATTTGCAAGCCTAGTCCAAGCAAGCAGGCATCTTGCATGGCAGCCTCTTGGCACCAGGTACATTGCTGATAAAACACGTGTTTTAAAACCCTGCACCCCTATCTACAGCTTTATTTTTCTGCTAGGAATCATCCAGCTTGACCAAGTGATCCTGGTGCTTCTCACCACTAGCATGTTTGTGGGTGGACTTCTGGGCTTTATCCTGGACAACACCATTCCAGGTAGGATTTGGTTAAATGACCTACTGGTTTGTGCCTGTCCAAAGTTTGTTCCCTGGTATTTTTTTGTCTTTGTTAGTCCTGTTCTATGGATAGGAGCTGTGCTAGCAGCCACAAAACACTGTGTGACTGTGCTCCTCCTAAAGAGGGTTAAGGAACAGAAGACATCACTGAAATGATCTCTGGTTGAAAAGCAGCAGCTTATCAAAAATTAACTAATTTGTCAGGACAACCCAGGCTGAGGAAAAGGCTTATTTGGCAAATAAATTATCTTTGAGCAGAATTCCAGCCTAGAACCATGTTGCTAGTTAAAAGGAGAGAGAAAAGTGGCTGTAATAAGTAGAAGAAGCCAATGTGTGCCTCCTTATGKGAGCTGCTAAAACTGAGGCTGAACTGGAGCCACAGCAGTAAAAAGCAGTAGGAAAGGCTGTTGAGCAAAGACAGGATATAGCACCTGCAGCTAGCCCTCACAGGCAGCAAAGAGCCTTGAATTTTCATCAGGCATGAGAGGGCGGGAGGGCATAAGAACAGGAGAGGAAACCCTCTATGCTGCTACAGGAAAAGAGAAGGATAGTCTATTAACCAGATTCTTTTACTGTCTGAGGCTTCTTGGGAAGCCAATCTCCCTTTGGCTCATTAATTTTCCTGCAGCCTTCGATCTTCAGCTCCTCTGGGCAGAATTTACCTCTATGGTCACTCCCTTTCCCAAGAGAGACTTTGCTGCCACAGCMGTTACAGGCACTCAGGAATCCCTTTGGCTAGGGTAAATACCTGTGCCTGAGTAGTATTTACTAGCAAAATCCACTCTGAAGTGTCTGGGCACATCCAGCCTTGTGTTCTCAGCACTGCATGAACCTCCCCTGTGAACAGTTCTTGGATCCCCCATGGCAGGTGAAAACTTGTCTTGGTATACAAGAGTCCCATGGAAAGCAGTGGAGAAAGACTGCTTATCTGGAAGCTGTTGCAGGAAAAAGGGTATTGTCTGGAAGCTCATTAGTGAATATTTGTAAAGAACTTCAGAGCTAAAAGGGTTTAAGTAGAAGGGATTTGTATTTTGTGCTGGGTCTGCTGGGATTTGAGAAATGGGTGTGAGGCACACAAAGCAGTCCTGTGCTTGAACACCTGATGTTTTAAACACGAAAATCTCACTTTTGCTGTTGCAGGAACACAGGAGGAGCGGGGGCTCCTGGCATGGAAGCAAAGCCAAGAGGGAGGAATGGAGAGCTCCCAGCTCATTTCCAAGGTCTATGATCTTCCATTTGGCATAGGCACCAAATACTGTGATGTCTCTTGGTTTCGTTGTCTCCTTGCTTGCCTCAAAAGACCCTCTGGTGACAAGAGAATGAATGAACTGAAGACTGTTGGACAGAAAAACAGCGTTAAGGCAGGCTTAGAAAGGGACTCTGAGATGGGTGCTGATACGGCAATATAAGCACCTGACCTGCAGGTGAACTCATCTCAGAAGCAGAGGTCTGAAAGTGTGTCTGCAGTCCTCATCATTGGAGCATGAGCTGGCAGCTGTTAGAGGGGGGAGCATGAGAATGATAATGGATAATGTCTTCCTCTTCCCAGCTCTGCTCACTGCACCACTGGTGACCTTGAGGAAGTCATTTTTTTCATCTCTCTTTCTGCCTGCCCATTTCTAGGAAGAACCTAATCCCTCTTTGSGGAACACCAAAGCCCAAGAAATGCCTAGCAAAGATGTTCTGTTTCCTTCCTTGCACTGACCCTTGGGCACCCTATGGAGCAGCTGTTCAGCMGAGGCAGAGGATTTCCTGTCCCCTGATCTGGCACCACAAGGAGCCAGTGGGGAAGGCATCCCTGATGTAGGCCCTGTACCACTCTCAGGCATCCCTTGGGTTGAGGTTAATCCCCAGMACCTTAAAGCAACACTCCCCTCTCACTTTGTGTGGTTTATACCTCATCCTGGCCAAGGGGAAGGAGCAGGCACCTCAAGGTCATGATTCATCTCATTMCATATTCCCATGATTTAGTCAGCCAAATGAAGTTGTTGTAGGAGAGGCATCTAAAGTTAATGGGATAGATTGTCTTCTGAACCTGTCTCTTTTGCCTTGTATCCAAAAGGGACTCTAGAGACTTTACTTAGGTTCTTGATCTAACAGAAAAACCCAGCTTCCCTGAAATGTATCCCACCTGGAGTACTGGGAGAAGTCTCAGGTGAGCCAGTTTCCTGTAGGGCACCCAGCCCCCACCAAAGATGAAGGAATTCTCATCAGATATAAAGGAGAAAACCTTTCTGCTCACAATTTTATGCATCCCTACTATTGATATGTCCTCTGTACCCTGACTCTACCTTTTTGGTCTGGTGTGGTGATTGTATGGTGACAAGCACTTCTCTGGAAAGCAGGTGTGCAGATTATTGCTCCTATTCCCTATCAGCAGAAACAGTCTCAACCTGCATGGCCACATGCAGTGTGATCACATGTGGTTCTGGCTGCTGGTGGTGTGTAATAACATTATTGYTGTAACATTAAGCTTGTGTTTGTGTCCTTCATTGAAATTTATACTTGCTTTTTTGAAAGTATAATGAATAAYAAAATGTACACTGTTATGGTATTACTCAGGGTGGTTGCTGTAACGAGTGGCAGGTGGTATTCAAAGACTCATGGAGTAATTCAGCTTGGAAGGGATCTCTGSAGGTCATCTGGGCCAGCCTGTGCTCAGAGATGGTCCTGTTAGACCAGGTTGCAGAGGACTGTGTCCTGTTGAGTTATGGGTGGAGAGCCATAGCCTTTTTAGGCAGCCTCTGCTAGGTCTGCTCACCCTCATGGTGTGAAGTTTTTCCTTGTGTYTAACTGGAATTCCTAATGCTTCACCTCTTGTCTGTTGCCTCTTGTCCTTTCACTGTTTTCTCTGAGAAGAATCTGACTCTGCCTTTTCTGGGCCCTCCATTGGACAGCTGAAGGCCAAGATACAATGGCTCTTTTGCTCTCTTGTCTCAAGATAGAACAATACTGGTGTGGTTTCCATGACATACTACAGCCCTGTTCTTTGGTCCCATACTGCAGCTGTAGTAGTAGGTGGCTTGTCTTGGTAAGGGATATATTGGAGTTTTTTGCTTTGTGAGGGAATGAAACCTAATAGATCAATTGTATGAGTGTGGGATCTTAAAGGAAGAAACATTATGGTACAAATAGTTTGCTGTTACGGGCAGATTGGAGCACCTCTGTTGATGATTGTGGCTGTTATGTCTTTGAGAGAAAAAAAATTATTTGTACCTTGAAGTATATCTGACCCTGTCTCACATATCACATATTTCAGATATGACCAGTCCCAGGCATCTCAGTTCTGCTGTCTTCTTCATCATCCCCAACCTTGACTATGTCTCTMAATTCACCAAGAGCCAGGCTATGCTCCCAGGCTGCTCTCTAGCGGGCAACCCTTGGTCTTACTCATCGCCTCTCAAATTTACTTGTGCTGTAGCACATGTGTGAAAGCGAGTTGTTAGTCTACATCATCCGTGTTCCCGTGTCCTGTACTGAAGCTTCCAGGGACTGGGGATTTAACTGCGACCAGAACACACAGCTGATTAACTGGGCACACAGGGCACACCAACAGCTCTGTGGAGGCTGCAGCCTTATTCTTTCCCTTCTCCKCCTAAGACATGCTAGGATGCTTGTAATTGCCAGAGGTTTATATTTGCTTTAGCTCTGTTAAAAAAAATCACATTGGCACAAGTTCTCTACAAAAAAAACCCTAGAATTGGCTTTTTGGTTTCCCACCCCAAGGCTAGAGAGCATTGCTCATGTGTTATGCTGTCACCTTGCACTCCCAGCCTGCTCTGTGTCACCATCTTGTATTTGGCCTGCAAGCTTCCTGGAGAGGAGCTGGGCATGGCTTTACAGATCTTGGCATGAGGGGCCCCAGTCCCCAGCAGAGGATTCTTTGCCAACACATCTTGTGGCTCTGGGGGTGCAGACAGCTCCTCTGAGGGGTGGCCTGCTAGTCTGGGGCAGCTGTGTCTGCTGTTGCTAGGGCTTACAAGGCAGATTTTCAGAAGTTGCTTATATCCTTATGTCCATCTCAGGCTTTTAAATGCCCTTTGAAATGCCCTCTTTGATATGTTTGTTATCTTTTTATAAAATATCTTTTTATGTGCCTCAGGAAGAAAATTCCAAATTTTAAAATTATGTAGGCAAGGGTTATTCTGTAGGGCCACCACCTCTCCCAGCCGCATGTGGCCAGTGGGGTTTGGGACAGCTTTGGTTTTGCACTTCAGCAACACAGCTTGTRTTTATTTGCTACTTAATGAAAAAATGAAAATCAGAGGATCCTCATGTGCAAAACTGAACACTTAAGGGCTGTTCCAGATTGCTTGGACCACAGCCAGCTACCTGTCAACTGTATTTCCTTTTCATGCTGCTGAGTCCTGAGTGCAGCAAGWCTTACTGAAGTCAGCCAGGTGTGGGGTCACTCTGCTTGTGGCTTTGCAGAGGCACACAGCTAATTGGGAAGTGCAGACAGATGCTCCTGCTGTTGTGGCAGAGATGCAGTGATGGGGATTTGCTTGTATCYGAGTGCACTGACACTAGAGCAGCTAATCAAAGGCTTATTTTCATACCTTTCGCCAAGAAGATGGGACCTGAGCAGTAGGACTGTCCTTTGTTATGGTCAATRTGTTGTGAAGTGAGGGGCTGTTACACTGCAGCACAGCTCTAATGTATTAAGTCTTACTCTGTCCTGTTCAGCTTGGCCTGCCCAAAACTCTACCATGGCTGCACTTCCACTGACTGATGTGTCCATGTTTCCCTCTGCTCCATCTTTGCTGCCTCTCTGCCTCCACTCCTTTTCCACTGCACTGCCCCCAGCCTTCATTTTTTCCAGATTTTTTTCAAGAAATGTTTTCATCAGACCAACCACTGWGTGCTGCTCAGTGTGGAACCTGTGCACCCCTAACATTCACATGRTCAGGAATTAAGGCTGCTTCCCTGCCAAGGCAGAGCAGATCTCATGCATACCAGGGCAGAACAGTCCTTGTCTGTGTAAAGTTGGCTCTGCAGGAGAGGAAACCACATTCCTTTGTTACTTGCAGGCCTGCACACTCATGAACYATGATCATATGAGAGGAGGAACCAAACTATGTGTTCACCTTCTCCTTAATGTCATTACAACGCTTTTAGCCTCAAAGTAATGCAGCATGTATAAATGAAACAGACTGTAAAGGCCAAGGAATGGYAGGCTGCACCCTGAAGAACTCTGAAGAGCTCTTAAACCCAAGCAGGACCCCTRCAGCCCCACTGTCAAACACAGCAGCCTGACAAGCATTCATCTGGGAGTGCTAGCACAGCCTCAGTTGCAGGGACAGAGAGGGCTCTGTAGTGTTTATTCTTCCCTTGTACTTCAGTACTCGGCTCCATGTGGTTTTGCCTGATAGGATGATGCTTTTACAAATCAAGGCAATGTCGGGCCACAGTCCAGGCCTTTTGGATTCGGTCTAAAAGCTGGTTGCCAAAGATGGATACCTAGGCATGCCAGCTTTAGTTTAAGATTTAAAATAAAACTTCCAGCCTTTCTATTTGTGATGGCTGGTAGCATGACCTCAACATAACCACTATCAGAACACAGTTTGTTCAAGTCTGCAGAGAGCCTTTAATGATAACASAGAGATGTGAAGGACTTTATTCAATTTCACAGCACTTTTAATTCCAAGAGACTATCTTAGCAGCACTACTCATCCAAGAATTAGATGTGGAAGAAGAGYACAGGACTGATCACTCAGCTTTACATACTTCGCAAAAGTAAATAATCCAAAGTGTATTACTGTGCCTGCACTTTTCTGGGTGACTTGGGARTCCATGCCCACTGCTGCTATTCTCATGAAGAGATAGAAGAGCCTCATCCCACTCTCTGTGAGGAAATCCCTCTTTCCTTGTCCACCCAAGATGAAAAATTGCACCAGAAAAGTAATCATTGCCAGGAGGTGATTTTTGCATGTTGCAGTTTAGGACCTGCATCCTATGGGACTGTGCAGACTGCCACTGATCTGGCCTCCCCACTGCTCTTCCACAGCTTATACTAGGCAAGGTCACTAAACTGTACCTGCCTCAGTTTCTTTGTGAAGTGAGGCTAAACATTAAATAGCTAAGACCTTTCAAACCTTTAAAAAGTATAAATTACTCAACKGATATATTAAGAAGTACTAATGAGGAGAGGAGAAGTCAATGGTAACAAACCACTTCAACAACGTCTCCACACTCTGCTTAGAGAGGTAGTTCACTGAAAGAGGTGAAGCCTCTTCATGTGCCTGGTGTACCTGGGAGTGCTCAACAAAACATTAGCAGAGATACTGTTTAGAAATCTTCATCATCGAAGGTCTCAGTGCACTGCAGCATCATGGTCTCATAATCGTAGTGAAGATCTTCTTCCTGAAAGCCCCCCCCCCAAGTCAAGCAGGATTAAAAACCACAGGAGT